TGAGAAGTCAGGTAATCTGTCCAGGGTGACACAGCAGTGAGTGGAGTGTTTAGGGTTTGAATGTATGTCTAACTGGTTATAACGCCCACACTTTTAACATGTGCTCCCTTGGAGTTATGGGGGTCATTCTAGTTTCCCTTGCTGAGATGTTATAAACAGAAGCTATAAAAATGTTGGAGTGACTCTGGAATGGTTATGAATTCACCACGACTGTTTATAGAGGACCTGGCAATGATAAAGCAAAATTCAAATATAATTCACCACTCAATTGTCCAAGTACAGAAAATATGCTTTTAATATAGGTCAGAAGTTTCAATAAACTTGAACCAGCTTTCTAAGAAGGAGTGGTATGCTTTTTTAGCTAAAGGTTGCCGTCACTAGCTTTGACTCTGGCATTCTCTAGCAACTGTTAACCATTTCCTATCCTGAATGCAAGATGGGCATGTGTGCAGTCCCATGGGCATACACAGATTCACGGCGGCAGAAGGGCACTGAAGTCAGCTTGCTGGCGGGCCTCATGCGTTTGCAACACTCCCTTCTCCCCGCTTAGGGGCAGATTGGAATGCCAGCGAGGTCACTTGTCTATAGGAAAACCCCAAGTCTACTCTCAGTTCTGAAAATGGAAATGTTGTAAAAATCCAGGTCTTAATATTTATTCCAGATTACTTACACTCTTTTGTCATAGTGATCACTGAACACAAATGTCATTCCTCTGGATTTGAGAGTCACTGTAGCATGCTTTGTTTATCAGCAAATTTTTTCTGTCAATGTGAACATGCGCGTTTAGGAGTGGTAATTCCTGTTGCAAAACTGTCATTGGGGAGCTGTGGATCTTTTGTCCCATATTAATAAGTACTAAATATAGAAAGATAATGAATCACTGCAAGTCTCTTCTAGAGAGAATATATATTTTTTCTATACTACAGTTATAGGCAAACTTTTAAGCTATGGTAGAATGTCTTTGGCCAAATTTTGAAAAGCTAAGGTTTAGGTTATCCAGACTTGGAATAAATGATAGAAAAAAAGATGCGCGTTGTCGTCTTTCAGTTGTCACAGCCCTTTCTTTGGTTTGATGCATATGAGTCAGTCATAACTTCTGCCCTAATCTGGTGAGCTCCATTTTTTCCACCCCATCCCACATCCATTTATTCTCTCATGCTCATGTAATGCTCTGCTCTGACCTCTGCCTCTTTTCTGTCTAGTCAAATTCTACCCACCCCTCCAGGGGGAGCCCAAGTCCTACCTTGTAGACGGCAAAACTCCCACGATGTCTGCAGCCCGTCAGTCTTTCTTTTATAGTAACTTAACTGTTTTTGCTTTGTGGTCAAAAATTTTTCCATTTTTGGGTCATTTTTAAAATTTTTTTATTAATTTCAAGTATACAGTACATTGGTTAGACATATAGTTTATGAAGCGATCCCCCTGATTGCTCTTTCTCTCCCCTGGCTCTCCACCCAGCCATTACATTAATGCTGACTGCTTTGCCATTCTTAGTCCTATCCATCCTGCTGTGTTACCCGTTCCTTTTTATCCGTTCTACTGAAATGCCCTCTAAAGTCTGCTTGATTCACTGCCTTAGGTTGACCCCTCATGAGCTGAAAACCCAGTCTCGTGGTCCTTTTAATAACCTTTTTGGTACTTGGCTATTAGGGTCTGCCTCTGTGGCTCTCCC